TCTGATTGATTATTATTCTGTGGTTTCGTATTGTTTGTCTTTATTAGCGATAGCCAATTCCGACAGGGGGCGCTGAAGAATTTGAAGATGAACGATAACTTCGGGAAAACAAATCATTTTGTCATTTGATCTCCAAGGTATAAAACGTTTAATATAAATCATTTACACGTGTGTTTTGCCAAAGTAAAAGTTGGAGTACGTTCTTCAAAGTTCATTTGTTTGTGATTCGAGTTTATACATAAGGTAATTGACTCCCAAACCTGAATAAAAATAAAATTAAATGTTTGTTTTTCTACAGTATGGCTGAAACACGGGAAGTAAAATTTACATTATCCTAATTATTTATATGGTTGCAAGATCGGCAGAGATCTTTAGTTGAGGGTGAGACAGTTTGTGGAGCTGGCCACGATATATTTTGTAAATGACGCCTTACGTTTTCTACTAATAACTTTATGAGACCTTGGGGCAATTTAGCTGATGGAACAACATTTTTCTTCAGTCTTCTTAATTTAGTTTCAGGTGTTACTATAAAGTAAATTAAGTATAAATATATTAAAATATAAAAAATATTTTAATCAACACTTGGAAAGTAATTGTTCTCAATAAAATGTAAACTGCACACAGTCACGTACTTAGTTATATGTTTGCCAATTCACAAAATGCATTGCCAAACTTTTCTCATATTCTCGTCCAGCAAAAACTTAAGTATGGATTGTTGTTGTGAATTATAATAGGATGAACATTGAGGAACACTGCAATAGTTTTTTGAAGTCGAACTTATTGTTAATTACAGTATACACCGGTCGCTAATATGTATACAAAATAATGACAATTTCAATGTTTTCCCGAAGTGGATGCTTTTGAAATCTACCACCAGGCGTCGCCAATAATAATATTTTCTGTTTCAGAATCCCAAACAAAAAGGACAACGATTCATCGATCTCACTTCCAAGAAGAGTGTATCATCAAATAGTATGCCTGTGAACACAAGAATCTTATATTTTGGATCCGATCTGGTACCTGAAAAGTCCAAACTGTGATACTCAATTACACGTTTTTTTGATATACTTTGGATACCGTTATTTTGTATTGTAAAAGCGTTTGTAAATAAATATTTTAATTGAATAATGTTTTATTTTAATAAAACCATCGGATTAAGTTGTTTCATCATTGGGTGCGTTTAATCTCATTGGAATCGTTTTAATTATTTTTTATATATTGATCTATATTACTTTCTTTTTTTATTAAAATGCTCACTGTGGTCAAGTTCAAAGCAACAAAAATCACCTAAACAAATAAATATAGACGTCTTTCATCTACCACGACAGATTTATCAAACATATTTTTTGTTGGCATATCGCCACACATTAATTCATATCCATAAAAACGTGATGTGCTAGTAAATCTCTCGAAATTTCGCTAAATTTGTTTGTTTGAAAATAATTTCGCAGACGTAAGTGTAACCTTCCTTCTAAATATCCTTGGAAAGAAACCAAATGTGTATTAAGCGGAAATTGGCGATATTGGAAGATGCCAATCGGCAGTGGATCACAGATTGCACTCTTCATCCAAGTTTTCTTCTTGTATTACTAGTTTTCATTGTAGGTAAACATTAATAAAATAAATTTTTTATGTTGAAATTCTAGAAAAATTTTGGCATCCGTGTCACGTAAGCAAATGCGTGAAGAAGTAGTTCGTGCATTTATATTTGCACTCCACGCTTGTGATCATAGTATTTGTCCATGCCACCTTTTATATCTATAAAATCAGCACTTATTCTTAAGTGCACACCTTTGCGCTTTTTCTTAAGTGATTTTTTGCTACTATTAGAGTATGCATATGCATAGATGACTGTTTGTCAAAGTAACCTTCACTTGAGCCAGAGATTAGTCGAATTTCGATGATTTCAGAAAGCCATATAATTTTAGCTAATATTCTCAACTCTGACATAATTTGCAACAGTTCTTCTTTGAATGTTGTCATAAGCTGTGCCTAATCATTGTGCTTACTCCTAAGTGACTTTTCCCTACTATTAGAGTATGCATATTATGACTGTTTGTCAAAGTAACATTCACTTGAGCCAAAGACAAGTCGTATTTCAATTCATCATCATCAACTAGCCTCTAACGTCCACTGCTGAACATAGGCCTCTCGCATGCTTTTCCACTTAGTCCGATTTTGCGCCATCTGAATCCAATTTATAGTCACTCTTTTTATGTCAGTATTTCAATTATTCCAGAAAAAAGCGTTTAATTTTAGCTGATATTCCCAACTCTGACATTATTTGTAACATTTCTTCTTTTAATGTTGCCATAAGCTGTGTCGAAATGTTTGCTATACCCAATCAGCGCTTATTCTTAAGTGCCTGACCTTTACGCTTACTCTTAAGTGACTTTTCCTACTATTAGAATATGTAGAATTAACCGCTTGTCAAAGTAACATTTACTTAATCCTGAGACAAGTTGTGTTTTCATGATTTTATAAAAACTGTTTAATTTTAGTAGATATTCTCACCTCTGACATTACTTGCAAGAGTTTTTTTAAATGTTGTCATAAGCCGCCTGGAATAATTTATTACACTTTATCAGCACTTATTCTTGAGTGCTTGAACATAGCACGTACTCTTAAGTGAATTTTCCCTTATTGGTAAGATCTTTTAAAGTTCTGGCTGTTTTAGTCCTTTGACAAAGTAACATTTTATGCAGAGAAAAGTTTATCATTGGTTTCAGAAGGAGTGTGTGATAATCTAATATTCTTCACTCTTGCATTATCAAGTATTCCTTTTGATGATACCATAAGCTGCATGAGAATGTTTGCAGTACCTAATCAGCACATATTTTTAAGTGCTGGACCATTGCGCTTACTCTCAAATAAATTTTTCCCTTAATATTAACGACTTTTAAAGTTCTGGCTGCTTTAGTATTCTGTCAAAGTAACATTCACTTTGTTATGATGTTCATTAATCAATTAATGAATGATATAAATACATGGTGCTAATTAATTACCACCACAAGACTTTATTGACCATATTATCTTCACAAAAGCCATCATAAGGTGCCAACAAACTTGATCAAGAGAAGACAAGTGTTTTGCTGATTTCAGCTTATATTCCTGACTGTTGCATAATTTGGAATAGTCCTGCTTGTTAACGCAATCATAAGCGGCACGGAAATGTTTGCTAGACATAATCAACACTTATTATTAAGCGAACAACTTTTACGCTTATTGTTACTAAAGTAGAATTGCAAATTGTGTCGTTTTTTATATATTTCAGAATCTTTTTCACTATCTAATCAGTCCTTACTCTTACGTCAACAAATTAGAACCCTTTCCACCCGTAAATCTTTTGTGGGCAGCTTTGTCACATCATGCATCCTTTGTGTATGTCTCATTTAGTAATAAAATAAAAAATAATGATAAAAATATTGATAAATATTTATTTTTATAAAAACTAAAATAAAATATACAAGAATAAAAGAGATTTTAAATCAAATCACAAAAACTAACCTAGAAAAAAATTTTATACGAGGGGCGACCAAAAAGAATGAGCACAAAGACTATGTGAATCCCAGGAATATTTTCCTTCCAATTGACAGCTGTTGTCATGAATCGGAATTTAATAAAAGACGATGTAAGCCATTATGAGCCTCAGTCCATAAGGAAATGTCGTCATACCAGCATAAATTAATTTGAGATTCCTTTGATCATTCTTTACCTCACTTTGCTCAATACAATTGCCTTCAATGGAAAATTTATAACGCATTTTAAAATTACACTAAAATATATCGATTTTTTACAAATCTTTTGTTCATACTTTTTGACGCCGCTTCGTAAAAGTATTTTGTCTTTTAAGAAAAATGTGTATTATACACTAAAAAGGAAATGGGCATGCAGTTTTATATCATCGGTAAAGAAACGTTGAAAGATTTGTCCGGATCTTCTTTCACATACATTTTCAACCAAAAACTTTTCTTTATTGTCAGGAATTCTATCGTTAGTATAATATTTACATTACATTGAAGACTGCACATCGTTAATGGGCCAAATACAAGAATTAAAAAAAAATTAGTGACCTATAAAGTGTCTATTATCGATGCCCAGTCTTCAATTACGTTTTAAAATATTGAAATTCATTTTGGTTTTTTCAAAAAGTGATGTAAATAAAAAAGAATCAGTCACAACATCGTAGAAACAAGGATAGTCCAGGGAACGAAAGTTTTGAGTTCGCAATTTTTTCGGAAAAGATCGATTTACTTGAAAATTTGAGACTAAGTAGTGGATAGTCTAAGGGGGCATGGAGGTAGTTGCCAGCCTTTCTAGGGGGTTTTCTAGCTTGAAAAATTTAATAGTTTTAGATTTATTGGCCATCGAAAATGTTTTCGAAAAAATCAATGTTTTTAATCAGTTTTCTGCTAATAACTCAAAAATTATTCGATTTATCAAAAAAAAACTGTTATTAATACAAATGTAGATTTTAAAAAAATAAAGATTTTTTAAATACTAATATTAACCCATCAAAGTCTTGTGTGACCACTTGGTTACGAAAACACGCCATCATTTAATGTTAATTGTAGCTCAACGCAAGAAATCTATTCGCAGTTTAACTTTTCGCTACTAGATGTCAGTGTATTCAATTTGTTACAGTAATACATTTCACAGTTTGGAGCGAAAGAATACTATAGTTGTGTGAATTCATGATTGAGATATAGATTTTGTAGTACGCAAATCGGTCTTTTCCGAAAAAATTTGCGAGATTTTCTCCTATTTTAAGATTTATTTCCTGGACTAAGATGTTTAAAGAAAAACCCTAATAATAAAGCCTATAATAATAATTTTCAAAATTTTTTTTGATATTGCCTATAAACAAAAACCAATAATTTTCTTTACTGCCAAAAAGAAGTAAAAGAATACATTTTTGGACAATTTTAGACATAGAGAGACAATGAAGAAAAAATAAGAAAGCAGTAAAAGTTTTCCTCTTAAAACCTGATATAAAAATAGTAAACATACTAGACAATATGGCAGATCAATAACGTAAAATTTGTAATACCTACGAGCTGAATTTTTTAAACATGCAATATTAATGTAAAATAATTTGTAAAAAATATAGGCAAAAAGTTCCCCATGGCACTGGTATAATACTTGGTTGTCTTTGTTCGTTAAATCACTGGCAATAGATTTTCTACTCTATTGTTAATTCATGTTTGTCTTCCTCTTCAAAACGGGCGTTAATTTTGGCAGCCCATGCATTGAATTCAGCTTCCTAAAATAATGTATTACATAAATATAGAAAACTGTTTTGCTAACAAAATTATCATTTATTTATTAAACAACTCTTAGTTTTGATCCCTCTGTCAATCAAAGCCCTTCATACATAGTGTGATTCACCTGATATACCAAGGGAAATCACTTTGTATTAGTCATTTTGATGAATTTTGTGTTAATTGAATACATTGAGAAGGAAGATAAGAAAATATCATCTGTTAAAAGATTATTGGAAATTACAACAATATGAACATTACTTGGATTGAAAATTAAGAGAAACTGGTCAAATTTTAATGTTATAAATCAAAAAAACAATATGGAAGAAATACCCATAAAAACTAGTAAACATTGTAAGAAATACTGCATTGCTCTCAGATTGTCAACAATCATTATAAACACCAACTAAATCTAGTCAATATGTACTTTAATGGACAATTAGTAATAAAATATATAAAATAAATTGTGCAAATAGCGTTAATAAATGCATTACCAGTATATACAAGGAATAAATATAATTGGAAAGAAATAAGCTTCTTCTTCTTCTGGTTCCTATCCGTTTCGGATGTTGGAAATCATATTGGCAATCATAACCTTGCTCGCTGCGGCTCGAAACAGCTCCGTTGAGGTTTTCTTAAACCATGTTCTTAAATTCCGCAGCCATGATATTTTCCTTCTATCGGGTACTCACTTACCTTTGACTTGCACAGGGAGTAACGGTGCAGATTTCTCATAACGTGTCCAGATATTGCAATTTTATGCGTTTGATCGTAAACACAATCTCTGGTTCCTTCTTCATTTTTCCTAGAACTTCCTTGTTCGTGATCCTTGCTGACCATGATATTCTCATCATTCTTCTATAAAGCCATATCTCAAATGCTTCAACTTTTTTAATAGTGGTGTCTGTAAGCGTCCATGCCTCCGCCCCGTACAACAAACATAGCGTCTGAAATGTCTCATTTTTGTATCTAGGGATATGTTGTGACTTTTGAAGATGGCGCTCATTTCGTTAAAGGCCGTTCTTGCCTTTCCTATGCGGCACTTAATTTCCTGTACATTGCTCCACTGTTCGTTTATAATAGTTCCCAGGTAGCAATACTGTTTTACTCGCTCTATCTGCGTCCCATTAATGTATAGATGAGCCCCGTTTATATTCTCCTTGCTGATAATCATTTGTTTCGTTTTGTGGGTATTAATGTTTAGTCCGTACTGTTGACTGTACTTGTTTATTCTGTCCATTAGCCTCTGAAATCCCTCTAAACTATCTGCTATCACCATGGTGTTATCGGCATATCTAACATTGTTTACTCTTTCACCATTTAGAAGGATGCCTTTGTCTATTCCGTAAAGAGCCTCGTTAAAAATTTTCTCTGAGTACATATTAAATATCAACGGCGATAGGATACATCCTTGTCTAACTCCACGTAGTATTTTTATGTGATCTGTTTCTGCTCCGTTAATTTTCATGTATGTTGTCTGATTCCAGTAGAGTTCTGAAATTATTCTGAGGTCTTTGTCATCCAGGTCTGCTTCTTTTAAAATGTTTATCACCTTTTGATGTTGAACTCTGTCAAATGCCTTTTCATAGTCGAAGAAATAAGCAAGATAAGTTAAAATATTATCAAATCAGACACACATTAGATTTTCCAAAAATTTAGCTTGGACATACAGGTAGAATGTTTAAAAACCATATGCTGGAGCATAATGTTACAAAAATCCAATAACTACCAAAATAACCATATGTCTAAATAATAAATAGAAACATTAAGTAATTGAGATTAAACATAGAACCAAATATCAATAATATAAAGATTCAGAACAAATTACTAACATACCTCAGATTTTGTCATCATATTTTTCTTCTTTTTCTTAGCTATTTTCTCTTCCTCAGCGTCAAAACCATCACATTCTTGTTTATTCCTCTTTTTCCTTTGATATTTCATAGTTGGCTGAAACAAAAACACTAATGATGCATTTATTTGGAGTGTAAAGACAAAAACCTTACCAGTTCGATGCTGAAATCTACACCATTATCTTGTTCCACATCTTCAAACAAATGAATATCAGCATCTGGGATTTCTTCATAGCTGTTATCAAGTATGGAAGGTAAAGCGTTTTCTAAACCTTGATCATCTTTATTTTTTGGAGATTCATCTTCATCACTTTTCTTTTCTAATTTCTTCTCTAGCATTACTCTTCTATAGCTTCTTTGTAGAGGTCTGACATGTACTTTTTCTTGATCATTTTCTTTATCAATAATAGATATATTAGGAGAAGCCATCACTGGTTGTTTGCCCCATTTAGGAGTAGATATGGGCATATTTTGCGGCTTGGAAATAACTGAAAGATCAGGGGATGCTAGCACAGTCTCCACATTCTTTTTAGGAGTAGAAATTTGATGTTGCTGTAGCACCCCTAATACTCTTCTTGGTTTGGCAATGTTAAATTCCTCATAATCAAACAAACTGGGCTCTAAAGGTCTCTCCAAATGTTCATTGGTACTATCTATAAAATCTAGCATGCTAGTTTGAACTGGAGGCTTTGGAGCTGGTTCTGGGCGTTTGTTAGCTGATAGTGCCTCTATTCTCTTTACAAATTCATAATCAATCACCATTTCTTGTTGGCCACAAGGAAGACCATTCTGTTTTATCTTCAGGAGGTATGGATTGCGTTTAAATATCCCTGGAAGTCTCCAAGGCTGTTGTTTCCTCTGCAAATATTATTTATATCAGTGATCTACTAATCTACTAAGAATAACTAAATATATCGACCATGCTGAAGAAGAGTGTTACAACTCAAAATTCTCCGTTTTCGAGATTTATGCAGTAATCAACCTAAAAAGTGGTATACTTTTCTGAGAAAAATGATTACAACTGTAGTTCAAAATTTGTATGCCAGATTGTGACATGCAACATGGTAACGTTAGTGGTTTTGACCGACTGCTCTGAACGAGAGTGTTACAACTCAGTCTGTTACCGAATGTTCAGTTGGGATTATCGCTGCTTCTTAGAAACACCATTACATTTTGGTTTAAAACATTTCAAATGACTGCTATTTCTAGAAAAGTGTTATAAGTTGATATACAACTATTGTATATCGGGGTAAGTTGAATATTTAGTAGTATTGATTGTAAAAAAAAGTTTTATATTTAAATGTAACTCTTGTTCTTGAGAAGACTTGTAACAGTCTTCTCAAGAAATTTGAATTAAATTGTTGTTTGAATAAAGTAACATTGTGGCTTGTAACAGTCTTCTCGAGAAATTTGAATTAAATTGTGGTTTAAGTCTAAATGTATCTATAATCTGCAGATTTTAGCTTTTGTATTTGTATTATTTTAGATTCATTTTTAATAGTAATCCTAATCCATATAAAAATATCATGAATGTTAGTTAGTTAGAACAGAGTATGTTTTGCTAAGAAAAAAATTATTGTATAATTATTTGGAAGAATGTTTTCAGTAATATGTTTTTCCTCTCGCATAAAAATGTTTTACATTCATTTAGTATTGAGAAATTATTTCTTATAATAATAATAATATAATTATATTTTACCACAATTTAGAAAAGTGAGTTATTTATGTTTATGTGTCAATATCCGTGATGTTTTTATTCTATCAATAATTTACTCAATTATAAACATTTCAGGAATACCATACAAATATAAAACCATGTCAACATCTGGTCGAAGTACACAATATTGCGTATGTTAAATATTGATATTAGTTGTAATGAAAATTTTAATATCTCTCAAAATACTACATCCGAGATACCCAAGGAAACTGAGTGTATAACTACTACAACTACTGATGAATCTATGAATCTATTTAGCAACGATGCCACACTTCATTGTCATCCCAACCAAATGGTTAATTTTGTTGATGCGAGTACTTCTGGAAATCCAATTAATGAAGAGAACCCAAACCACAAACTATCCACTAAAGTGCTTAAAAATGTATCGAATATTTCTCCTCTTCTTGGTACTGAAAATAGTAAGGGAAACAACTCTAATTTGTTTATATATAGCACTAAAACTATTCTTTTTTAGAAAATGTAACTTTGTCATCAAAGCACCATAGGGCAATAGTATCTGATGAGGATAGTGCAATAGTTCATAACGCAGAAATATCTACAACAGGGAACAAACTAACATGTATAGGCAGTCACATAATACATTTGTGTAAATATATGCACTAAGGTGGAAATGAAGAAACATAAAAAGACATAATCACTTACTCTATTACTCAACCTTAAGGGTTTTTCTGGGGAAGTTTCACTAACTTCTTGAAAACCAAAGAATGGGTCATCTTCTTCTTCACTTTCATCACTCCAACTGTGCTCAAAATCTGTATTATTATAAGTATCATGGCAAGTGTCATCTGAAATCATTGGAATGTGATCTACAAATTCTCTGTGCAAGTTCCTGGTGTTCTCTATTGGATTAGCCTCCAAAGAAGTTACATTTCTGTCTCCCACTGTCTTTTGTTGCTGGTTTATTGTACTATTGAAGGAAGTATGTGATATTATTGAACTTAACATCATTTTTCTAAAAGCTTCTTCTCTAAATATACTTTTTTCTGATAATGACGCAACAGAGGAATTGTTTAAAGCTGCAAAATATTCATCTTTAAGGGAGTTACCATCTAAAACATGAATTTCAGATCTATCAAAACCTTTAAAACCGTCTTCTATGTCAGACTCCCTTTTTTGTGAAATACTATTATCAAAACCTCTAAATCCATCTTCAAAATCATCACTTATATTTACAAAGTTTATAGTCGAATCATTAACTGTCTTTTGCACAACACTTCCACTTTTGGAGTTATCTATTTCTACACTATTTGGGGAGATGACAATCTCTTGTAGTACCTGAACTTTTTCCATTGCTGCTGGTTTCATTTTAGGATAATTTGTTTTAGGAATTGGCATGGTTGGAGGACTTTTTTGTTCATTTACTTTTTTCATAACTCTCTTCAACACATTCTGAATATTATGATCGTAAGAAGCAACTGGTTTTGGCTTCTTTTTTGCCATTTTCTTCTCTTTTCTCTCGATTTTCTGCAAAAAGCTGTGCATGGTTTTATTAAACTTCCCAGAATCATTCAAATTTTTCTTCTTTCTAGGCATTTCTTGGTCTGTATCAACTATGTCAAATTCGTAGGGATCCTTGACAGGTTTATTAAGAACAGGTACAGGTTGCTTATATACAGGTACTTTAGGTTTTGAGATAATTGATACATTTTGCACAGTTTGACTGATTAAAGTAGAGTCTTCAAAAGATTCTTCTATGTAATGCTTGTTGATGCCTTTTCTTAGTCTTTTAGCTAATGGTACACTTTCTCTACTGGTGATATTCTGCACCAAAAGTTTGTCACTTGATGCAGTTTTACTCAGATCTGTTTTTTTACCTGGTATGTTGTATGAAGGATTTTTAAATTCCATTTGTTGTTTATTTGATATTTCTGTGTCAATTGCTCCAGCTGCCACTTTATTCTTTTTATTTACCTTATTTGGTGTAATATTTGTTAAATGAACAACTAAATTCTTAGTTTTCCCTTGTTCTTTACTTGATATGTTTGTGTCATCTTTTCTAAGTGATTTATCTGCCTCTTTACTCTTTCTATTTGGTGTAATATTTATTAAATTAACAACTAGAATCTTACCTTCCTTTTGTGTATTTGGCATTTCTGCGTTTTCTCCTATTACAGTATGGTCTAAATGTTCTAACTCTTTACTTGTACTAGTTGGTGTATTATTTTTTAAATGTACAAATAAATTCTTTTTACATTCCCTTTTATCTTTGTTAAGAGGCTTACCTGCAATTTCAGTAAATTTTGTACTATTTTTAACTTTTATTTCCTTTTTCCTTTTAGTATCAGACTGTTCTTTAATTGTTGGAACATTTTCCTGATTATTTTGGCTTGAATCAGATTCAATTCCTTTTGATTTAAGTATGTTGGCCTCATCCACACCTAAGTCATGACCTATTTGGTTAATATCATTTACTGAATTTTTAGTTTTGCCAGATTTAAGTAACTCAGTCTTCTTTACTCGATTTTTATTACCAAAATCATGCATACAAACCGTCGTACTATCATCAGGGTTAACATTTTTTAGTTTATTTCTAATAATTCGCTTCAGTGGCTGTTTCTCAGATGATGGTTTTTCATTTGCTCCTGGTTTGTTTTCTTTGCTTTTGTTCAACCTGGTTTTCATTCCAACCACTTTTTCTTTAGATATTTCATTACAATGAGACATGTTTACATTAGCACAATCAGTAAATGGTTGTCGTGAAATCACTTTAAAGTCTTTTAGTGAACCAACTACAATGTTGTGGGTTCTCATATTATGTTACATTTACGTGTTTTCTCCGGGTATAAAGTTAAAATTATACCTTAGCACTGTTTTTAACGAAAGCATCTTATTAAAACATTTCCCGCGAAACTATAAACAGACATTTTCAGATTTTCTTTATTGACGTTTGTTGACGTTAAAATTAAAAATGACATGCTTCACTTGTCAAATTCAAAATTTTCACATTTAACATTTTTTCATGATTTTCGTAAAAAGCTTTTTGTGAAAGTTGGTATTTATAAAATAAATAACACAAATCATACTAATAAACAATATTTATTATTGGACGACAAATAATAAAATATAACTATAAAAGTTGTAAGATAAATAAATAAATACTTCAAAACTGTAGAGTTCTTTAAAAATCATTACAAATTATCAGTTCTAGCTTGTATTAAAATAACTGCTGGTAAAATTGGTATATCCTAAAAAGATTTATTGCAGTAAATAGGGACTGTCTAATGCACCCAACCCTATCATTACACCACCTTCATTTGCTGTTGCAATTTTTGATCTGACCATATGACCTGTCTGCCTGTTCGAAATTATCGTTTTTGGAGTCCTGAAAATGAATTTTAAGTTTAAGGTTCAGTAGATCGAAAAAATATTTTTAATTGACAGACAAGATTTAAAAATTCTCTATTCTCGATACATGTAGAACATAAACTTCAGAAGAAATCTTACCCAATTATAATACCGAATATTCCCAATTCTAATATTGTTTCCGATATTGGAGGCGGGTTTGAGCTTCCTGGTTTTACCATATATCCACGTACTATGGGAGGAATGATCCTCTCCATTAATATCCATGATTCTCTTTCTTTGCTGTTTGCCATTCCTTCTAAGTATTCTTTAACGTCTTTTCCATATACATTGTTTCCACCACCTTCTCTTTGTGGTTTTAAAACATACCTGAAAGTATATTTTATTAAATATTATATAGCGTAGTAAAAGTAGATTATACATATTACATTATAGTGTAGTATAAGTTGCATATTCAGTGATCATTGTTCTTTTAGGGGAGTTTAAAAATATAGAAAATGTGCATTTAAAATTAATTTACTCATATTTGTGATACATAATGCGAAATAAACAATTCTATATATAAAAATGTATGCAGTTCACCTTTCAGGTGTCTCTAATGCCATTCTGACCGCTTTTTCCCCATCATCGTCAAATTCTAAACCATATATACCAACAAATACATCTCTGATGAGTTCAACTTTTCGTCGATCTTTAATAAATCTTTCAATGACTCCATGTTTGGCTAATTCCTGTTGAACTTTTTTCGTTCCCGCTAAATGGTATTGGATGTTCGGACATTTGATGGCTTTAGACCTAAAAAACACAATAAGTATATGAAAAATACACGTAAATTCATTCATAAACCAAAGAATATAGACGCATATGCGTATTTGCATAAACTTTGGCTAATAAGACAGGAATATCTAGGCGAAAAATTAATTTTAACGTGAAACAGTTCATTAGAGTTAGTTATTGTAGCTTGAAACTAGAGCAGGTTTATTTTAGAACAAAAATCAATGTAAATATTGCTTTGGAAAATCTAGAAAATATCTAAATAATGGTAATAGTAAATATATTTTTTGCTAAAGACTATAAACGAATTAAAAATTCATTTTTAACTTCAAATATAGTCATAATAATATACCACACTCTACACGCTTGTGTAATATAAATTGCTTATTACTGCTTTTATATTACCGTTTATATATTGAGCGATATAACGTTGTTTAAATTTACTTAAATGTAAAATAACTATATAAAATTGCATGCAAGTAAATCATAAATATTTAATTGCGATCAAAATTACTTTTCGATTAACAATCGAGCTGTCCATTCGTTTTCAGTAGGGTATTGACCGGGGTTATATCCACATCTGAAGTAAACCACAGCTACAACATCATTTCCTCTAAAAAGTATAATGTTACTGTCTTTAAAATGTTAGATTATAAATATAAAAATATAAGAGTCAAACATTTTTTTATACTCACACTACAAGTTCTTTCTTCTCGTTAAGTTTCCCACTTTTGTATATTTCCGTTAAAGTCCTTCTAATAAACTTAACGTGTGGATTTAGCTCCCTAAATTTAAACTCATGAATTCTTTGATCACAAATATTGTAAATTACGTCTTCAACTATCATTAAAATCACAGCTTGGCAATCGCCATACATTTTCCACGCTTCCAAAAAGCCCTTACAAAATTCCGATAAAGCGTTGTTCTCTGGCAGCTAAAACATTGTAAAAATAGTCCTTTTGAAACAAGATAATTTTTCTCTTAAAATGAATATGTTCAGATTTTTATCTACCCTTTATTTGCTATTAAGAGAGAGAGAGAGAGAGAGAGAGAGAGAGAGAGAGAGAGAGAGAGAGAGAGAGAGAGAGAGAGAGAGAGAGAGAGAGAGAGATAGAGAGCGCGGCAGTCTCTGCTAACCCTTTTACTCTTATTAGAATATACCTATATATCCCAACACATGTTTGAAAAATTCTGAATATTTTAAACTGGCTTTAAACTAAGTTGGGACGGGATATTTCAGTAGACTATGGCATTTCTTATAATGTGAAATCGGGTATCCACCGTCAGCATCAAATTTTAACCTAAAATTTAGTTTCTATAAAAGTATTATAAAACTAAAAATATTCGAAAAACAACAAATGTAAACAAACATATAGGATCCGTCAAAAGTGTCAAAACAATCTTAACAATACCTCCGAAGTGAGGTCGTTTTTAGTCATGTGATGCCCTCTCCATAGATTCTAACTCGATGAATATTTCTCACAGGGAATGCCAAACAATTTTAAAGGGAAAGTTAAAAAATATTAGGTTAACATTGGTTTTAAGGGACATTCGAAAAAAGTCTAAGTTACTTACGTTGCTTATTTTGTCGTATAAATTCATTTCTTGTAAGATATATCTATAATAAAAATAAATATTAGTAATACTTTTTTTTATGCTAATTGAAATTTTGAGTAGTTCTTTTTGTAAAATTTGAATATTACGATGATACACTAGCAATATCATTAAGTGCCATCTTATGGCGTTATGTCAAATCCGTAAATAAGATATCTGGTTTAAGAAAGCTTCTGCAGCAATTTTTAAGTTTTTTATAGGCTCTGATTTTTAGTCTTTAAAAGAGTTTGCTTATTTTATTCGCTTTAGTTGAAGATTTTACTAAGACCTCTACGGAATTGCTTAGCTTTCATAAAGTAGCTTCCATAACTGTTACTGCAACATTTGACAAGTAATTGTACTAGCACTGCACGTTTCATAAAATAATGAGGTTAACGAAGCTTGTCTTCAACAAGATGGAGCACCGGCTCACAATATTTGAGGACAAAACTTAACAAATTGCGTTTGAATTTACCTGTGCAGCAAACCAGAGGCCGGCCCAAGCCATCCAAAGCCAGCAGCTATATTGTTTATTTCTACTAATTTCCAACTGAATGGTGGAAAACTATGTTCGTGACGTTTCTGTCCATTCAACTTTTCGGTCTCCATCATGTAATCACATCTTAACAATCCCACACTGATTGGCTAAAAAAAAATAGTATTTGGTTGGTTAGTTTAATATATGGTCATATCGAAGATGAGACTTGAACAAAGAAAAATATGATATTTTGAAGCTGCTAAATTGATTTCCTTCGAAACAGATCTGATTGCATAGCAGACTGAGGCTAGTTTCTTACCTGACAAATCGATATGAAGGGACCATTTAAGGTTGCTGTCTATAAAAATACTAACAAATTTTACAGAATCAACGATACTGATCTGGCTGTTATTAAGAAGCAAGGGTTGAAGAGCTCCTTTATAGGATAATGCTACTGTCTTATCCACGTTAAAAGAGAGTAAATTAGAGTCGAATCAGGTTTTTATTTTAAGTAGATCAGAAGTTATAATAGCATGAAGAGTTGCAATATTAGAGTTCCTCCAATACTAGTATTATCAGCAAAAAGAAAAATTTTCCCATCGATTTTTAAGTTAGTGATGTCATTTATAAAGATAAGGAAAAGTAGAGGATCCAGTACTGGATCTTGTGGTACTCCACATTCAAAGATTTTGTAACTAGAGTCAGTATTATTTGCTCTAACTAGTTGTTTTCTATTCCTCAAGTAAGATTGGAACCAATTCAAAGAAAAACCTTGAATTCTGTAGAAATTTAATTTTTTTATCAAAATATCGTGATTTAAACAATCAAAAGGTGTTATAAAGAATCAATTCCAGACCTATTTTGAATTGAGAAAATGGGAAGAAGGATCTTGTTGCGGCAAAATACTTGATGTTACATCTTTACTCACATTAACGATTCATTTAGATTTTTAGGGTTTGAAAGAGAGTGTTGAATTTACAAACATTGTTTATTATGAACCATGTTTCTCCTGCAACATTTTAAGAGCTTTAGAGCTTCCTTGTCAGTTTCTATTAACTGTAAACCTTATTTAGAATGAGAGATGATCTTATTTATTTCCGAGAACAGTCTTCATTCTGTTTATACTTATGTTGTTCCCAGTTTGTCATGTTTTATTTTACTTTCTTATTGCTCGAAAGTATATTTAATTTTTGACTTAATTTATTATTTCCCTGCAAGAACAGATTTAAGATAATTTTATATAGTTCTTCATGGTATTAAAACAGCCCTATCTTTATAAATGAAAAACGTCTCAACTAACGGCACGCTAATTGAACAGGTGTATAGCTATAAATATCTGGGCTACGAGATTAAATTAGGAAGAGATAATCAAACAACGGAACTAAACATGAGAATATTACTGGCATGGTCGGTTTACAGAAAACTGAGAGAAGTCTTTAGATCAGATATTCCCATGTTCTTGAAAAGGAAGGTCTTTGATCAATGTGCACTCCCAGTTCTAACGTATAGAGCAGAAACATTGACCCTTACCAGAAAAGTAATTAATAAAATACAAGTGGCACAGAGAGGTCAATGCTGAATATATTCCTCAGAGTATCAAATTAGGAGAAACTAGATTAGTGTTAGGAGAAACACTGGTGTTACTGACGCAGTTCAAAGGATTACAACATTGAAATGGAACTGGGCGAGGCATGTTGCCAGGTTAAAAGAAGGAAGATTGACGAAGAAAATTCTGGAATGGAGACCTAGGCACGACGCTTATCGTAATCGAGGACGTCCTCCAACAAGGCGATCAGATGATATCAAGCGCATGCAGCACAACTGGATTCAGGGTGCTCAAGATATAATGCATGGGAATTATTTACGGGAGGCCTATGTCCAGTAGTGGACTCAAAAGGGCTGATGATGATGATCTTTATAAACGTATGTAAAATGATTAGTACAGATATTTTAGATCATCTATTACTAATAGATGATTAATAATAAATAGAATGAACAAGGAAGTATCAAGAGAAATCAGAAAAGACCTAAGAAAATACAAAGATGAGAAAATCCTCAAAACCATTGAGGAAAATAAGAGTATGAAAATAATGAGACGCAAACTCACAAATGGAAATAAACAAATAGTCAAACTCAAGGATAGAAATGGCAACATCACATCAAACAGAGAACATTTGTTACAAATTGTGGAATCATTCTATGAGACATTATATAGCAACCAATCGACTCTAGATATAGTTGAATATCAACAAAGGAAGGTTCAAAATCAGGGTTCCGAAGATATCCCAGAAATCTCCTTGGACGAAATTTACAAGGCTCTAAAAAAGATGAAGAATAACAAAGCTCCGGGGGAGGACGGTGTCGTCACGGAAGCGATAAAGATAGGAGGCTCAGTACTGATAGCCAAAATTCAAAAGCTCTTTAATCTATGCCTATGGAATCAAAATATCCCAACAAAGTGGAATAATTCAATAACTGTACTCTTACACAAGAAGGGAGATATAGCAGACCTGGAAAGATACAGACCAATCAGTCTCCTTAACCATCTTTATAAATTATACACCCGAATAATAACGAACAGATTAGAGACAAAGATGGATTTTTACCAACCTCGGGAACAAGCTGGTTTTCGCTCTAATTACAGCACAAACGATCACCTGCAATGCCTAAAAAACCCGATAGAAAAAACTAACGAATATTACCGTCCCTTGGCATTGATATTTGTAGACTTTAAAAAGGCGTTTGATACAGTGGAACTACCGTCAATCTTAAGAGCACTACAAGATTGCAGGGCCGACCACAGATATTGTAATATAGTCAAAAATATATATGAAAATGCCACAACAACCATAAGTCTACATTCTGCAACTAATAAAATAAAGATAAAAAGGGGAGTCAGGCAAGGTGATACCATGTCACCAAAGCTGTTCATTACCGTTCTTGAGTATGAATTTAAAAAACTAACATGACAAGAGAAAGGAATATCCATCGATGGAGAAAGATTAAACCATCAAACGTTTTGCGGCCGATATCGTGCTTCTGTCAGATAATCTGGGAGAGATCAAAGACATGCTCCAAGAACTGAATGACATACTTCAAGAAACTGGGCTGGAGATAAATTTCGAGAAAACCAAAATGATGACCAATGTGGTTCTCAGCGAAGAGATACAGATTAATAACAACAAGGTCGAATTAATCGATAAATACACATACTTGGGTCATGAAATTAGAATAACCAGAGACAACCAAACCTGCGAGCTAAATAGACGAATCACGTTGGGATGGGCGGCATATGGAAGGATGAGAGACATTTTTAAAACAAATATCCCAATTCACCTGAAAAGGAAGGCATTTAACCAATGCACCTTACCAGTCTTGACCTATGCAGCAGAGACCCTAACTTTAACGAAAGCTACTGCCGAAAAACTGAGGGTAACACAAAGGCGAATGAAGAGATCAATGCTGGGCCTGACCTTGAAAGATCGCGTGAGAAATGAGGAGATACGCCGACGAACTGGCGTAGACGACATTATACTGCAAATCAATAAACAAAAGTGGAGGTGGGCTGGACATGTTGCTAGAATGGAAGACGGAAGATGGACGAAAAGATTATTGGAGTGGAGACCAAGAGCCGACAAGCGAAGTCGAGGCAGACCACCCACCCGATGGACCGACGACCTAAGGAGGATAGAAACAAAATAGATTGCAGCAGCTAGAGATAGAGCGAACTGGAGACGTTTGGAGGATGCCTATATCCAACAATGGATGTGAAAATGGGGCTGGATGATGATGATGATGATTACTAACTATCAACACAATAGATTTCCGTACGATTAGAACCCCGACAATTAGGTATATTTATATGCAATTACAACCGTGGTGGTAAAATTAATAATATTTAACAGCGTAGATATAAAAAAATCTGTAACACAATACATTGCTTTAATATTGTATTTATTTAGTAATCGTCGACTTGAACAATCCATATAAAAACAATTATTATTAAATTAGCCACATGTGGAACGATATATTAATAACCTTATTGACTGTGTGTTAATTTAATATCACTCAGACAAGAGAAAGCATTCAGTGTATTTGCTAATGAAGAAAATACCAGAAATATTAATCAAAGTGGTTTCAAATTGATATCTGTAACAAAATCTACAAAAATATATAATGATAAAGAGAAGATTTGTTTGTTTAAACACTGTATTCTGTTACACATTGTTACAGTGAAACTCCATTCCTTTAGTCCAGTGGTCGGGGAATAGGGGTAAATTACCCCAAATGGGGTAAAAATTAAATTTTTGGGGGTAAAAATGAAACTTTTGTTTATTTTTTTTTTGTTTTGTTTACTTTGAGTAAAAGGTATATATTTTTAATTTGCTATTTTTAAATCTGTTAGTATTTTTTCAACTTAAACAATTTAGAGGCATATTCAGGCCACTCTATCTCACTCCCCACCACTAGAGTGTTCTCGAGTTATATCTTTGCGCAGAAAAAATATATTGGCTTTTGTCAATTTACGAATAAGGAAAGAAGTTGTAGATTTAAGTTGTAAAGGGAAATGATTGTATAATTTTTTTGCCGACTATAATATAGATTACTTGACGGAATCGGTAAATACACATCAAAGCTTGAATTTTTGGTGGAGTAGTTATGATTAGGTCTTGCTGGAAAAGCATGTAGGTGTTTACAAATTAAGAAAGCAGTTTCTAGAATATATAAAGAGGGAAGAGTTAAAATCCCGCGATTTTAAAGTAGCTTCTGCAATATGCTAGTCTGCTGAGTCCAAAAAGATACCGTATTGCTTTTTTTTGTAATTTAAAAATGTCCGTCCGTCCGCGGATGCGTTTGCAAGATATCCGATTGTTGTCGTTTTTTTTTAGCACAGATCAAAGCGTTTCGGTGCGGACGTCCGATGCCTTTCCACACGTCTGACCTCTGACTTCGTCTTTTCATTTTTTTTAATGATTATATTTCGATGTACACTTAAGTAGTAATTGAACGTTCTAAATAGGCATATAGCTGCGGCAGCTATGGTCTTAACATCAACATCCATTTTTTTAATGCTCGCGTAGATATTGCGTCTTTCGGGAATTAACACAGACTGAACGATTTACAGATGTGTGGTCAGCTTGTGATGATACATCTGCAGATGTGTCCGCGGACGCGTCTGCCAATGTGTAGAGGAGCCATTACATAAATACATAGAAAACTATCTATCAACAGAAGACAACCTGGCGTTCAAGACACTGGCAATTTATTAATTTGATGTTTATATTTCAGATATCCCTTAAAGAATATACAAAAAACCCAAAAAATCAGCTTTGGCCACCAACAAAATTACAAAAAGAGGCGAAAAAATATTTTTTTACTTTTTATGATTGTTAAAAAAACAAAGTAAAATCAGTTGTACATCTTCAAGTATTTGTCATCAGCTATCCCTTTAAATGGAAGAAAAACATGACCACTTTATCATACATAAACTCGTTAAATAAGTGACAGGTCATACAAAACTTTGCAGCTTTAACAGTATTGTGTAACAATGTTGAGTAAAGACAATATAGACGCCTTGGTAGATCTTTTTAATGACACTTATGGGTCCGGTCAAATACCACAGGATTGGCTACAATCAACCTTTATACCAATCCCAAAAAAGCCAAACGCTAATAGTTGCGACCAATTCCGAACGATCAGCTTATTGAGCCAGATCTTCAAACTCTTCTTAAATATACTTAATTCACACAAGAATATACAACAGATGTGAAAGAGACATTAGTCCCACATAGTTCGGTTTCAGACAAGGATTTGGCACAAGAGACGCACTTTACAGCATTATTGTCTTACTTCAGAAAATAGATGTCTTCCTATGCTTTATCTTCTTTATGTGCTGTCTTCTACCGAAGGTTGGCGACCATCATACGATAGGTTTCTCTGTTTTGGCCGCATGAATTTTGTTCGCAGCTTCTGGTATTTGAAACCATTCTCTCAAGTTTCTCAGCCAGGATTTCTTCTTTCTGCCCAAACCTCTTCTACCTTCAATCTTGCCTTCCACGATAAGCTGTAGCAGACTGTACTTATCATTACGGAACACACGGCCCAGGTATGACGCTTTTCTCCTTTTAACAGTTGTTAACAATTCCACCTCTTTACCCATTCGTCTTAATACCTCTGTGTTGGTCACTCTGTCTGTCCAAGGTATTCTCAGTATGCGTCGATACAGCCACATTTCTAGAGCCGCTAACTTCTTTATAGTTGCTGCTGTTAACGTCCACCCTTCTACGCCGTAAAGTAGCGTAGAGAGTACGTAGCATTTCGTGGCGCGCCTATCGGAGGTTAATGCTTAGGTTGCGGTTGCTTAAGAGCCTTCTCATTTTGATGAATTTGGATCTTGCTATTTCAATTCGGATCTTAATCTCTACTTCTGGGTCCCACTTGTCATTTACTGTATATCCCAGATATTTAAATCGGTGTACTCTTTCAATACGTTCGTCTTCAATATGCAGGTCGATATGTTGAAATTTTTTTTACTGATCACCATAAATTTAGTTTTCTTTCTATTGATCTTCAGTCCAAATCGGCTGCCAGTTGTATTAACTCTATGTAGCATCATCTGTAAATCTTCGATGTTATCGGCCAGTATAATAGTATCATCTGCATATCGAAAATTACTTATTGGTACGCCATTAATCTTGATGCCCTCATTGTACTCTTCTAGTGCCTCTAGAAATATTTGTTCCGTGTATAGGTTGAAAAGCAGTGGCGAAAGAATACAGCCCTGTCTTACCCTCTAGAAATGGTTATGTTTTCACTCACCATATGTTCATTCTTCATGTGGGCTGTTTGATTCCAATCTATGCTTTATAGATTACCAGAAAGCGTTTGATTGTGCTAATAATTCAGAATTAGTAAGATTGCTCCAGGAACGTTCGATAGATGAGAATGATCTTAAAATCATAAAGAACCTTTTTATGAATCAAGTGGCATATGTGAGAGTAGGACTGGAATCTACATCATATTTTTCAAGCGAAAAAGGTGTACAACAGGGTTGTGTTCTGTCACCCCTCCTTTTTAATCTTTACTGTAAAACGATTTTCGATAGATCCTTAAGAGCGTAGGCGCAAAATTTTTCTGAGTTTTCTCAGGATTCGAATTAAATTAGTGCATTTAAAAAGCATTGGCCCGAAATTTTGCGCCTACGCTTTTAAGTGACACTGAAGATGGAATTAGGACAGACTATTAGTAATCTTCGCTATGCTGATGATACAGTCATAATAGCTGATAGCCAAGAAGAGCTACAACGACTAATAGATAGAATAACATAGAAGGAGAACGACTGGGCTTGAAGATTAACATAGACAAGATGAAGGTAATGGTGGTTAGTGGAACACGAAATATGCAATTAAATATAAGAGTAAACAATAAGAACATCCAAAAGGTCCCCAAATTCAGATATCTCGGTATAACTGAAGATCTAGATCCAGACATAGAGATACGTAGCAGGATTGAGCAAGCCAGAACAGCATTTACTAATATGAGAACCTTGCTAAGCAACAGCAGCCCTAACTTAGTATAGTGTAGAAACTGGACCATAAAGGCCAATGTGATGAAACGATTGGAGACTTAAAATTCCCTGGACAGATCACACAACAAATGTCGGAAGTATTAAATCGAATGGGCAGAAAACGAGAATTGTTGCCAATAATAAAAAGAAGAAAAACTGCTTATCTGGGTCATGGTTACCAATATTAAAAGAAGAAAAACTGTTACCTGATCATATATTTTGAAATTCAAGCTTATTATGGAAGAGAAGATAGAAGGAAAACGGGGCATCGGAAGAAAGAAATACTCATGGCTTAATAACATAAGGGATTGGACAAACCTCGATGCCCATGCACTCTTTAGAGCCACACAAGATCGAGAGGAGTATGCCAGAATTGTCACCAACATCCACTAATTGGATAGGGCATCATAAGAAGAAGATCCCTTAATTTAGAACCTTAACAAACTTTACAAACTTTGTTTTTTTTTTTTACCGGCCTACATAATGATCCACTTACCTGCGACTCCCCTTCTTCTTGTACAGCTTCATAAATCTCGAACAATTTCGCAGTAAACGAATCGACCTCGATAATTCTAGTCAAACATTTCGTTAAAAATTCTCTATCGTTCGCAACGTAGTGTATCAGCTCCTGGAACGCCGTCTGAAGATTGACAACTTGCTCGAAATCTCTTCTGGGCATAGTGGACGGAAGCAAAACGAACGGAGCGAAATTTATGGAGTCTTCTGAAAAGTTTGCTCTCGATCGCATACAAGTACCGTTCGTGATTGCCCAGTCTTTACCTAGAAGAAGATTTTGAGCATAAATAAAATCAATATGACGGCAGTGTTTAAGTAATGAATGGTTTTCGTTTTATTTTTTTATGTTTTATATTACATTTTAACTAACATCTAACTTGCGTTTCGCAGATGACACTACACTTCTAGCCCCTACTCCAGAAGAAATGATTAAATTATTAAAAAACTCGAGGTAGAAAGTGCTAAATTTGGACTCATGGTTAACTACAACAAAACCAAAATCATGGTTATTGATCGCCAACAACAGTTTCCTGAAACCCAAACTATTGCGGGATGCGAGGTAGTCTCATCTATGATATATCTTGGAGCTCTAGTTAACAACACAGGCAGTTGTGAATCCGAAATTAGAAGACGCATTCAACTAGCAAGAGCAGCAATGAGTGAACTAAACGGGGTCTGGCGTGATCGTCACATTACTATGACAAACAAAAAGAGACTCGTTTCAACTCTGGTCTTTTCCATATTTTACTATGCATGCGAGACATGGACAGTCAAAGAATCAGATCGACGACGTATAGACGCCTTTGAAATGTGGACATGGAGACGCCTGCTTCGAATTCCATGGACGGCTCGCCGTACAAATATCTCGGTTCTGGATGAAATTAAACCGGATCAGCGTCTCTCCAGTACCGTTTACTCTAGAATTTTAAAGTTCTTTGGCCATATCCATCGAAGTGATCACAAAATGGAGCGGTTGGTGGTCCAAGGAAGGCCTCAAACTCAACGCCAACGCGGAAGATCTCCACAGCGATGGGCGGACATTACTAAAAAGCTTCTCAATAAATAGTATACTGAGGCAATACGTATAACTGATGACCGCGACCAGTGGAGAAATATTATCAATCAAACTGTCCGAGCTGCTGAAGCCCAATTATGAACCACAACACATCTACTAAGATGTTAATGACTGTGATGATGATGATTACATTTTGGATACGAGGAACGAGTGGATAAGATGCAAAACCGAAACAACAAACGCTGTCGAACATGCATTGAAATTAAAATGGAAATGGGCTGGGCATAACGAAAGATATCAGGATGGAAGATGGAATAAAGAAATTGGCCGCTGGAGACCATATACTGCAAAAAGGTCAAGAGGTCGACGGAAAATGAGATGGAAAGATGACATTGAGCAAAGCGCAGGTCCAATGTGGAAAAGACAAACAGAAGACAGAGAAAAATGGAGACAAATGGGAGAGGCCTATATTCAACACATGAATAGATTTTGGGGTATAGACAGATAGATAGATTACATTTTGGAAAATCTAATAAACTCAACTCACATGAAGAAGGTGAAGAAAGAGAACTAAACCATAGTTTAAGTTGAAAATACGTCTATTTTGACGTTTCGATTTCCAATTCGGAAATCGAATCACTACAAATGAACCACTTATCTGATTCTAATCCATTAAGATTGGAATTAAGTAATTCGTTAATCTTAGACTAGATTTTAACAAAGTAAATATAAAAATTTGTAAGAAAAATCAATAAATTATGCAATTGGTACAATATTTAGGTCAACATCAAAAGGAATTAAAATTCGATAGATAAAAAATGTATTAGCTCGTGTAACTAGATAATGACTTGTACAAGAAAATAACTAATATCTTTTTTATGTATACCTTTTATTTAACACCTATTGATAAGATACCTATTTAAACAAATGTTAAAAATATTTGATAATTTATTTTGAAATAATTCATATAATATAATATTATACGAAACATTCTATATTCCTAAAAGGAATATTCTATATTCCTTTACAACCCTGTGTGAATCCTCAAGAATTTCTCTCCAGATATCCCTATCCATCCCCTTCTTCCGCCAAGCACACATTGCCATATTTCTCATGTCTTCCATCGATGTTATCAAGAAACCTTGTTCTGGATATTCCTCTTCTTCTCTGACCAATGGGTCTATCAAGAAGCATTTTTCTAGCTGGGTCATTTTGTCTAATTTTTTGAGCCTTTCTTACCGAAACTTATAACAGCTTAATATTAAAGTATTTTCACTAAAAAAAAACTAAGACAAATTGGTGAAAAAAACACCCGTGAAATGGTTTAATAATGAATTCGGGTCTTACAGATTTGATCTTTCTCTTATTAAACACATTGCAGATGCCACTTAGGATCCCGATTTGTTCAAAGTATATAAACAACAAAAATTTGAATATAGTCGGCAATTACAAATACTGGTAATATGTTATGATAACAGCGTTACTAGCAAACTAAAAGAGATCGAGTTACAACCAGAATGGGAAGTAGAAGATACTTGGCAAAAAATCAGAAAATGCATTAACCAAGCAGCAGAAGAAGGAATTGGAAAGCGGAAAAGTAACACGAGAGCGATAAAACACACCATACCGGGGATTTATCAAGAGGTAAAATAACTCTCTAAATTAAAACGCAAATGCTACCTGAGATATAAAAGCACACAATCGGAAGAAGCTCTTGCAGAATATGTCCAAGTAAAAAACGAATTAAACGCAAGAATAAAATCAACCAAAAGAGAACATTGGGCTAAATTCATTGGAGAAAATTTAACCAAATCTTAAACGACACAGAAGCACCAGAGGAATGGCATAAGAGCATCACAATCTTATATTTAAAAAAGGACAAAAAACTTGGAGTCTAAAACCTAAGGAGTCAGATCAACAAAGCATCCCCATTGTCAGGATGTCTGCGGGAGATAGTCTGGTCAAATCCGTATAGAATATAATATTCTTTAATAATCCCATCAGATCACATTGTGATATAGGACAAGTCATATAGTACATAAAGCATGATCAACAAGTTATATAGGACAATTACATAAAACAAGATCAATAAAATATAGATTAATATAAAAATAAAAAAAAAGATATGCAATATAGAGCGTCTCTGAACCCGTCGGTCCTCATTCCCTGTAGTCTTTTATTAAGTCAAAATAATCATTTAGGTTGTAAATGCATAATTGGATCAAGCATGCTTTTAACTTATTTTTGAATTTTTGAATATTGTTTTCATTTCTTATATTAAGTGGCAAACAATTATAAAATTTAGATCCTGCAAAATCAGGACTAGTTTTAAAGAGAGTTCTGGAGTGTTTACACACGCTTATCAACCTCCCGTGTCTTGTCGGGTAATTATGAAAGTCAGAGTTGAGGTTAAAATTTTGAAATTTAGTTTTGACGTGAATAATACACTTATAAATATATAAAGCATGAAAAGTCAACAGCCTGTGTTCAATAAAATATTTACGACATGATTGTCTATTATCATTGAATATTAATCTAAGAATTCTCTTTTGAGTTATAAAAACTCTAGAAGAGTTTCTAGAGTTTCCCCACAAGACAACATTATAGGCCATATATGAATAAACCAATGATATAATACACACTTATCAATTGATTGGTATTAAATAGAGTTTTCAACTGAAGGATCGCATAGTAACCCTTATTCATTGTTTTGCAGACTTTAGTGACATTTTCATCCCATGTCTTATTACTTTCTAGAATGCTACCAAGAAATAATGTTGTATCACTAAAAGGTATTTCCTCAGAACTAACTGTGATTTTATAACCATGGGATGGCTTACAACGCGAGTAGAACTGCATACAAATAGTTTTCTTTGCATTTACCATTCAAGAGTTCCTTTTACACCAGGTTGTAAATTCCTGTGCTAGTAAGTTAATTTTTGATATGAGTTCGACTTCAGTTGACTCGTCAACTACAATTGTTGAATCATCTGCATAAAGAACTGTATGGTCTGCAGTTAAAAAATTGTCAAATCATTGACATATAAAAGAAATATTAAGGGTCCAATACGGAGCCTTGCGGTACACCTTGATCAAGATTAAAAACAGATGACTTCTTATTATCGACTTTTACTAGTAATTTACGATGTTGTAAGTATGACCTTAACCAGTTCAAGAAATGACCATGAAAACCAAGGGCTTCTAATTTATGCAGTATAATTTCAATGTCAATAGAGTCAAAAGCCTTAGTTAAGTCAAAAAGAGTGCACCCACATACCTTTTTCGATCCAAAGCAGCGTGGATATAATTAAATAATGAAATAGAAATACTCTCTGTAGATTTATTAGGAAGAAAACCCATGCTGGCATTTATTTAAGATATCATATTTATTCAGAAAATTTTACCATAAATACACTTTTCGATAATCTTAGAGAGTACATTTGTTACGGTGATTGGCCTGTAATTATCAACCAAACATGGATCTCCCTTTTTGAAAATTGGACTAACTACTCCCGTTTTAAGGTCACTTGGAAACTTGCCATCCTTGACAGATAGGTTGATGATGTGAGACAGAACAGAACAGAGATATATATGAAGAAATATATTTAATTATTTTAGTGGGGATTTGATCAATACCTACTGAGCTGGTATAGTTTAAGGAAGATATAGCATTCTCAATATAAAATATGGTGAGACTTCAGAAAAAAAGAATGTGTTGTTAATTGTCATAGTTGTGAAATCGTTAAAGCTATAGTTATTAAATGTTTTAATAATGTGTGTTTGACTGATGTACAAAAATACTCGTTACTAGCAAATTTGTTTGCTATGTGTTCTGGATGTATCAATAATTTATTATTATCAGTAATACTCCACTCAAAATTGTTTTTATTTCTACCAGTTTGACGATTTACAGTTTTCCATATCTCCTTCCTTCTTTTATTATTATTTTGATTATGTAAATAACTTTAATATGAGGCTTTTTTTATATTCCTTTACCTTACGGATAAAGTTGGCCTTTTGTATTTTATAGATATACATTAAATCTGGATTACCACTAACATTTGCTAGCCAAAATAAATCTTTCAGCTTTTTACTAAGCTGAATAATTTCAGTATTGATCTATTTTCTGTTGGTATTAGTAGTTATGGGTTTTGATATTAAAGGACATGTTGTATCAATATGATAGGAGACAGAGTTCAAAAAAGCTCTATATGCATCATCTACATCATTTGAATATGTATAAACATTTTCGAAATTCTCAGAATTAAGACTCAACAAAAGATTAGACAAACAATTCTTTGATCAGGTTCTATAAGTAGCTATCTGGGATGTAGCAGTATTGTTACTCTCAGATATGTTTAAACTAAAATGAAGTCCTAGATGATCACCTAAATTGTAGTTCACGACAACCTCATTGTATAATTGAGGAATATTGGTAAGAAAATATTCTAGTTTCGATCGTGAAAATTACACCGTTTTTGTTGGTAAATATTCTAGTTGGTTCAGTATTTTTACAGTTAAGTCCAAAACTAATAATGAAATCTATTAATATAGATTTTTCCCTTGACTCTTTAAGATAATCGATGTGAAGATTACCACAAAGAATAATACAATCATATTTAACGTAACAAATATTAAATACATGATATAATTTATGTATAAAAATATCAATATCTCCATTAGGGGAGCGATGCACATTGAGTAAACAAAATTTTTTTGAGTCACATCTAAAACTAATACAACAGCAGAAAATTGGTCGAGTTGCCTGTTACTGGTATGTTTCACAGAAACTAACAGGCAACTCGACCAATTTTTATCATATATTAATTCACTTCATAGTCATATTGAATTTACAATAGAAACAGAACAAAATTAATCCATAAATTTTTAAGATTTAAAAATTAGCAGACTTCAAAACAAACATGACTTCTCCATATTTCATAAACCTACCCATACTGACACGACTATACACAATTCGTCATCCCATCCAACACAACATAAACTGGCAGCTTATCATAGTATGTTACATAGATTAACAGAAATTCCGATGTCAAAATACAACTTTGAGACAGAATTAAATATAATTAAACAAATAGCAGTAAACAACGGATACAACGAACAAACAATTAATAAAATGTTAAATCAAAAACTACACAAGAAAGCCCTGAAATTAGTATTTCCACCACCAGAGAAAAAAACCCAGTACCTTCTGCTCGATTACATATACAGGCAAAATAACAACAAAAATTGTCAAATACATAAAAAAGAAAGGAATAACACCAGCTTTCCGAACAAATAACAACCTAGGCAAATATATAAAAAATAACAAAAGCCAAAATAAAAAACACTTAAATAGTGGTGTGTACAACTTAAATGTGGCGACTGCCCAAAAACTTACATCGGTCAAACTGGTAGAAACTTTGATAAACGAATAGCAGAACATAAAAGGGCTTTCAAGAATAGAAAAACAGATTCGACATACGCACTTCACCTTCTAGATCCTAATCATTCTTTTAATGACAAATTTAAAATTCTTCACATTCAAAATAAAGGCCTTAAGCTATCTTTATTAGAATCTATGGAAATTAACAAATTAAAAAACACAGGCATAATTCTGAATGACCAACTTGAGACAAACAGGTTCTCCCTCCTCAACCTATTTCATTAGAGACTATAAATTTGTAAACCCAAGCCAAAATAGATCACTTGAGAAAGGCAATCAGCCGAAACCGCTGTAGTGATAATATTTAAAATAAATTTTGTGGAAGTTTGAAAACAAAGTTTTCAGTGTTTTTATTGTTACATAAAATGAATTTCCATCAAGTAACGGTCGAATCCATCAATTATATAAAAGGAATTTTATATTGTTTTCACTACACCATGACTCGGTTATACACAGCAAATCCGGACTTTCGGTTTTAAGCAATAATTCGATAAGACTTATTTTGTTTATAATAGATTGTGAATTAATACATACGACCTCCAGTTTGGTGCTACCTCCAAGCTTGTTTGTAGCATCTAGATTGCCCAATTCCGGACTCGTAACGATCATTTCTGGTTTTGTTGGGGACCGCGGCTGGTAAATATATGCGCACAGATAGTAAAATTAGAATCTACAAGACTTACACACGATCCACTATGACATATGACCCTTGGCAAACCATGCCAAGGGTTGCCGAAATGAAAACCCTGAAAGCAGCGTAAGAGGATGTGGTACAATACTGTAAGACGAATGGATGAGAATAGACTCCCAAAAATTGCCCTAGAAAACAACTCACCCGGTTCAAAACCTCCCGGAAGACCACCTAAAAGATGGAGGGTTACTTGGCAATCTACCAGGAAATTAACCAGAGGCAGCTTCAGACTTAAACAGATCGAAAGATTTCCAAGAAGTAGAAGAAAAAGAAGAATTGGTAATTGTCTTATAATAATTGTATGTTTCTCTAAATTATTTTAAACTACATTATTAAAACCGTATTTTTGTTTGTTTTCGAGAGTGCTTCAAATATTGGGAGAATTTACTATTACCATTCTTAATACAGCAGGACTGTTGAAATCAAAGCTGTCATCTCTAGTCCCAAAAAGTGTGCAAATTTGTCAAATACACTGTTAAAAAGAAACTATACGAAAATTTAAAAAAGCGACTAGGCGGTTCAAAAAGAAACTTATCATCAATAGTAACAATCAAAGAAGAGAAACATTTATATGGAAAATAAAAAATAGAATGAAAGTGTAGAGAATTTAGATAATAACAATTTATAGCAAAATAATGACAACGTATGAAGGATTTTTACTAAAAAATTGTGACACATTTGTAAATAAGAACAATATTTGAAAGTGTATATACCTGCGAATATTACTAGAACATTTAGTAAAATCTCTTACCTTTACTAACAAGATCCTTAAGTACATCTTCTGGTAAAGGTAGCGGCACAACGGTCGGTGCATAGGAACACATTGCTATATCGATATTACTCTTCTAATCACGCGATTTTTACTAAAAGGATCCAGCCTCCGTATCCGAATAAATCATTTGCTCTTACCGCGAATCTCGCGACATTAAACACTTTTATGAACGCAACAGGAGATAAATATCATTCAAAAATGTACACTACATGTCAGTTGGAGCCGGGTGAATTGATGACATTCGATACTGTTGCGGTATTGGTCAATAGAGTGTCGGGTGGAAAGTTATTGGTCGGTTCTATGAATTCAAATAGGATATTGAAACTGACGTTTTTAAGTAATTTTTAATTTAATTATATATTCCCGTCAAACATGTATTGTGTATGTAATTAGTATATTAAAAAAAAATTATTAAATGAAAATAATAGATTTAAAAAAAATTAATAAATGAAAATATTTCTATCCTTGTGTGATCGGTACACACCGGAGGGACCGCAGGACGTTTCGGATACAATTAGCGTCTCTTAGCAAAGACAATGACGTCGACTTTGTATGTATCAAGACAATTACTCTACACACACACACACACACACACACACACACACACACACACACACACACACACAACACACACACAAAACAACACACACACAACACACCACTACACTCAAATTGTAAGATTGGCGAATGGATTTAGTGTCCGCAGTCATTTAAACACAACAAAAACAAAAAACAACAATGTATTGTAGAACAAACAACGAATAGAAACTTAACGCAAATGTCTGCTTACGACAACCTCACGAGAAGGCGGCGTATATCCAATTTAGAACCTTAAGCTGTACTTCAGTAGTGACGAAAATGCCAGTGAACCTCTAAAAATCATACGACCAAGCTAAATTTAGCTGAAAACGTAATTTTAAGACCCCAAAAAATATACAAAAAAGTTTACCACTCTTACCCGGGCTTCTCCCTAAAAACCCCTCGTAGGAGGAGAAAAACGGAAAACAATCGATTTCAAGCGTTTCAAACAAACAATGTCTTCTTTTTGTTCTCTCTTATAGGTAATTTCTGCTTGTTTATTGGCGGATTAATGTTGTTACTCTATCTTTCGCGCGGTCGTTCCATACTTCTTTTGCCGATTGGTGACATCTCTTGCTATTTTGACTTATGTGGTTATTCCATTCTTTTTTTCTATTTTGTGTCATTCATTTATACACTGTATATTACATTTTCTTCTGATGCTTTCACTTCTATTTCGATATCTCAGCGTATTTACTGTAATTCTTCTCAGTTACTCTTATCTCTGCCGTTTCCAGTAGCCTTTGCGTTATAGCTGTGTAGCTATAAACTGAGCTATGATATAAATATATCATTATTGGTCTTACATTGGCTTTATAAATTCTTGACTTCATCAAAGTGTCTGTTTTGCCATATAGTGATATTAAGGCTTCCTGCCACTCTATTTGCTTTTTGTACTTATTCTCTCAATTCTTTGTCCAGGCCTCCATAGTAGGACAGTGTAATTCACAGGTATTTTATTTTCATTAGTTGTTCAATACTGATGCCATGATCAAATTAAAGAGCATGAAGCTCAAAAAAATATCCTTGTATTATTCCGCTGACTATTTCTAGAGGTACTGTAAGTTGTCTGTCTATTCTGATTTCCATTTTGTTGTTTTGGTAGATGTTTTCGATAGTTTTTATAATATTAGTTTGTTCTACTCTGTGGGATTTTTGTTATAATAGACGACTCATTACTGTATATTTTATTTATTACAAGATAAACTAATACTAATACATACTTATATCTAAAGAGCCATAAGACCAGTCTGTCGACTGTCAATGTCTGTCCTACTCTTTTACTCCGGGCTTCTTCGTCTATTTGACTTGTCCTAATTTTAGGTAGTTTACAGATATTAAGGTAATTTTAAAACTTAACACAACATAACAATATCTAGGGACAACCATTAATATTTGAACTTCTCTATAAGAGGATGGCCTACATTTTGAGACTTATTCTAATCAAACGCTTTCTTTAGGTCAATCTTTAGGTCATCTCAACTAGACAATACGGATTCAGAAAAGCAAAATCAGCTGTAGATGCGATTAAACATATCACAGATACTGTCAGGAGTACAAGGAAAAGATGGGCTGTTTTAGTAATGTTTGATGTGAAGAATGCCTTTAACTCTGCCAACTGGGAGCACATCATAAACAAATTAAAATCTGCCAAAGTGTTGGGATTTTTAATAAACATCATAAAGGATATAGTAATAGATATCTCTCAGTGGCTAGAAACACAAAAATCAGCCTGCTGGGCAGGCTGCTGGGAAATTAATTGGTTCCTAAATTGTTATACATTTTCCAGACGTTCTGTGTATGATGATTGATATTCCTTTATATACTCTTTTTTTAACTTACCCATCAAAGCATGATCTCGCGATCTTTAATTTTTCTGTTTTGTATCTATGTTAAATCTAAAGTGATACGGAAGAAACAAGAAACAGATATGAAAAACAAAGAAAAATCGTAAAAAAAGTTTTGAGAATGAAAAAGAGAAAGTACATGGAAAATCAGCTGAAAGAAATAGAAGAAAATTACAAAAATCGAGAAATTAGAAATTTATATCAGGGAGTAAAAAATGAAAAAAGAGGATACCAACAGAAAACAATATTTTACAAAGATAAAGAGGGAAACGCCATAAGTGGAGAAAATGAAATTGTTCTAGATGGAAAGAATACTTCGATGAATTGCTAAAAGACGAAAACAGGATAGAACAGCCACAGCCTATAAAAACGGAAAAACATAGGAAACCAAATGAATGAGAAGAGAACACCCCCTACCAGAAACGAGATAAAGGAAATAATAAGGAAATTAAAAATAACCAGATGTAGAAGTGATAATATAACTGCAGAGATGTTCAACTATGGAGGGAAAACGCTAGATGAGCAAATGTTCAAATTAATAAAGGAGATTTGGATTAAAAAAACTACCACAAGAATGGACAGATGCATTTATGTGCCCACTTTATAAGAAAGGCGATAGGACAGATTGTCAAAATACAGGGGGATATCTATTGAATACTGCATACAAAATTCTTGCAGTGTGTATAAAGGACAAATTGGCAGGAGTGATAGAAAACATTGTCGGCGAGTACCAATGTGGCTTCAGACCTGGTAGAAGTACAACAGATCAGATATTTACGCTCAGAGAATTGCAAGCGGAAAGTTACCAACACGATCTGCCGACAAGGGTCCTCTTCATTGATTCAAACAAGCGTACGATAGAATAAAACGGAACCAAATGAGCAAAGCACTAGAAGAATTGATATATTGATATATATATAGATATATATATATATATATATATATATATATATATATTACTATATATATAAATAACGCTGTCCAAGACTGAGAGCAGAGTTAAAATAAATAATATAATGTCGGAAAAATTTGAAGTCAGTGAAGGAGTAAGGCAAGGAGATCCCTATCATCGATACTATTCAGCTTGTGTTTGGAGAAGGTCATACGAGATGCAAATTTCAACAGAGAGGGATTGTTATACCAAAGAAAGCACCAATGTCTAGCCTTTGCTGACGATGTAGTAATACTGGCACGAAGCAAATGGGAGCTACAAGAAGAAGTAAAGAGGCTAGATAGAGAGGCAAAGAAAATAGGCTTAGCCATCAACGAAAGTAAGACAAAATACATGGAATGGATAGATGACAGTAACAAAAAGGAGGAAATCTAAAAATAGAAGTAGAGGGTGAAAAAGCATATATATTTGAAGCAGTGGAAAGATTTACATACCTGAAGTCGATGTTCACATAGCAAACCAAATATTAGAGAGGAGCTCTCAATCAAGAATAATGGCAGGAAACCGATGCGTTGTACTCACTAAACAGGCTATTAAAAAGTAAACAGATATCTAGGAATGCCAAAATAAGGATTTACAAAAGAGTTATACAACCAGTGGTAACCTACGCCAGTGAAGTGTGGACACTGAACAAAGGCGAAACAAGCATGCTCGAAATATGGGAAAGGAAGTTTTGAGAAAGATATTTGGAGGCAAGATAGTAGACAATACATGAAAAGAAGAACAAATAAAGAATTAGAAGATATGTACAAGAATCCTAGTATAGTGGGAGTTAGTAAAGGCTCAGAGAACTCAGGTGGCTAGGGCACATAGAAAGAATGACAAATTCTCGAGTACCACAAATGATTCTGATGCATACAATGGGTACAAAAAAAGGAGAGGAAGGCCGAGAAGTTGATGGAAGCAAGAAGTAGAGAAAGACAGAAACACTGGGAATAGAAAGATGGAAGGACAAGGCTACTAATAGGAAGAAATGGAAAACAATAACAGCTCAAGCCATGGGCCTACTAGGCTAGTAGTGCTATTATATATATATATATATATATATATATATATATATATATATATATATATATATATAATATATATATATATATATATATATATATATTATATATATATATATATATATATCTATATCTAATCTATTTCTTTGCGGTTCCTCCCGTTTGTTGCTGACCTTATTAAATGGTAAATATTTTCATTACGAATCGATAAACGAATTTGTTGCGAATCGTTATCTGCGGGTCACGCAAATTGATGTATTAGGCAAACCTAGTGTCAATGTTCCAAACAAAAATAATAAAATTGTGTGTACCATTCGTGTGTATATTTTTGCACTCGTCTGATATTAAGAGAAGATAGTTGATAAACAAAACTATTAGCACCAAATTTAATCTTATATACTAAAACGCTAAGCCCTTTTCTTGTCCACCACTTTACTCAAAAACCATATTATAGTGTATTTTTATGTATGAGAGAGTAATAAAACAATAAATTATGTATGCAAATCCCTAAACTGTTGATACGGGTGACTCAATGAAAAACAGATATTTGTCAACAAGTTTACAGAAGTATATAGGAAAACAATTTTAAATTGAGTATGACCACCAGGTATAAAGGTTGGAGCAGAATAGAATACAATAGTTGTGAGGGTTACTAATCCCTAAATAAGGTTGCCAGTGTCGGAGTGATGGAGGTTAACAGGTACTAATGAATTTGCAAGAAATGTAAGATGTTTATTTTATTGGTTATATATAACCAATAAAAGTTTAATAAGTACCTACCTATTTGCAAAATAAAGTTTAATTCTTTAGATAAAATAAAACGTTTTATTTTATCTGAAATGAGTGCATTCCACGAAGTAAGGGTTTCAACAATCAAACATTTAATTCTTTAATTCCAGGAATCTACGACAGTAATTGACTAGATAATTACCTTCTAAACTTATTCCACAGAAAATGTGATAGTGGGTTTTTCCATTTTGTAGGAAGGTCCAAGTGGCGTATTCAAAATTCTTAACAGTTCACTAAAAGTAGGTACTTCAGTTGCAAGGTGCAGTTTATTGTGTATACTAGTGTTATGGAAAATTTGGAAGTGCCGTGTAAACGCCGAAAAATTGGTCCTTTAACAGTTAATGAAAAAACATTAATATTTAATTGTTTTAAATCATTTACAGACAAACGTTTATGTGAAAGTGTTGATGAGACCGTTGAGTTAGTTAGCAGTACACTTGGTGTTGGGAAATCTACGATTTACAGAGTTATTAAAGAAGAGAAATGTGGTAGTTTTCAAATGCCACGTAATGCTCCAGGGAAACCAAAATTTCAAATAGAATATCATTTTAAAGAAGGACTTCGACGGAAAGTGCATGAATTCTTCTTTAGACAAGAATTTCCAACATTGGATAAAGTTCTTGTCTCAGTTCGAGATGATAAGGATTACCCAGAAATGAGTCGAAGTACGTTATGGAAACTTTTAAAAGAAATAGGCTTCCGCTGGAAAAAGAATCCCAGAAAGTCTATTTTATTAGAAAGAAGCGATATTGTCATATGGAGAAGACATTTTCTAAGAACCATAAAGGAAATGAGAAACCAAAAAAGAAAAATATTTTATCTTGATGAAACATGGATCAACGAGGGTCATACACCAAATAAATTTTGGCAGGATGAAACTGTTACAAGTCAAAGGCACGCTTTTGTAAATAACTTATCTACTGGTTTAAACCCACCATCAGGAAAGGGACGCAGGCTGATAATAGTACACATTGGCAGTTCAGACGGTTTTGTTGAAGGTGGTTTATTAACTTTTGAATCAACTCGTACCGGTGACTACCATGAAGACATGAACGCTGATGTCTTTCAAGAATGGTTCGAACAAATGATAGATCTTCTTCCTAAGAACTGTGTAATAGTAATGGATAATGCAAGTTATCACTCCAGACTTATAGAAGGACTGCCCACAACCAAGTGGTTAAAAAAAGACTTGCAGAATTGGCTGAGTTCAAAAAATATTACGTACCATCCCGGATCTATAAGAAAGGAACTTTATTCGTTGTGTGCCCTTCATAAAGAAAAATTTAAAAAATACGAAATTGATGAAATTGCCAAAAATCGTGGAATGACAGTACTTAGATCCCCACCATATCATTGTGAATTAAACCCGATTGAACTGGTATGGGCACAGATAAAGAGTGAAGTTTCAAGAAAAAATACCACTTTTAAAATTCATGATGTTAAACAGTTGTTTTTGGAGGCCGTAAATAATGTAAAACCTGAAAACTGGGAAAAGGCAGTAAATCACACTATTAAAGAAGAGGAAAAAATGTGGAAGCTGGACAATATTACTGATAAAATGATCGAGCCAGTTATTATAAATCTTGGTTCTGAAAGTTCATCTTCTGAATCTGATTTGGATTTGTAACAAGTAGCTGTAAGTTTTATATTAATATTTTTATTCATCTATTTAACATACCTTAGACGGTTTTAAAAACTCTTTTTCTCTTTTGTAATTTTTAAAAATTAAAAAAAATGTGAATTTTTTAAAACCCTTTTTAATGTAGGCCAGTCAGTTCTAATATAGTGTGTGATAAAAGAGGTCACTTTTGTTTACATACACATAACACTTTATAACACTGAAATAATTCATTTATTTTTTACAATTATTCAAAGTAATTTTTCAATTAATCTTGAGCACGCCCATGGAGTGGTCGGACGTACCAGTTAAAATTATGCTAATTACTCTCTCGTTCATAAAAATAAACTATAGATAATTAAATTATTTTTTCGGAATATTATTAGTATTACGTATGAGATTGTCAAGATATACTTTTGGTACAAAAATTCACTTCCGGTTTTGAGATGACCGGAAGTTAAAATTTACTTTAAGTTTTAGACCCACAATGTATATATGGATCGAAAGGTCTCGTCGAGACGAATCTAAATATGTACTTCCGGTTGCGATCCGACACCGGAAGCGACCGAAACGCGCATAAAACGTCAAGATACAGCAAATCTGACACGGATTCGTGAGCAGCATGCAAAATTAACTGCTAAATGATATCCATGTCGACATTTGATGAACTAAAAATTGCATTCCGGTTTTGAGGTCGACTTCCGGTTTCGTTTTTATTAAAAAGTAAAAAGTAAAAGTTTACATAACTCCCGGTGCCAAGCAAAAGTTTTCAGAAAATGGAGACATTGTAACAAAAAACATTGTTTTCGACGAAATATTTCGTGATATTTAATACACTTTTACTTGCATTATTATTGATGAATGTTATGTATATTCTTGCTTATATTGTTTGTATTGATCTCTTAATTTTTCTCGCAAAATAAAAATTTCATTTAAAAAACTCGATGTCGAGTTGGTCCGCTAGTAAAAGTTTATTATGCTATTTATAATAACTCAACCTTATATCCGAAAAATAGTAGGAGCATTTTAATAAATTATGTACATCTTCATTATCGATCGTTTGATGATTCTCCAGGTTATCATGTTCGCTTCATCGCTATAATGGCTTCATTAACAGCAAATCTAAATGTCGTAGTGTATTTTCCATATGATTATCTTAATCTTAACGTCCTCACCTTTTTGCTTTGCCTTAAAAACTTGTTTGTAACATTTTATTACAAAATTCGGTATACTAATAACGCAATCAAGAGGCTAGAGTTACTAACACGCCCTACAGATGAGAACAGGGAAGACTACAACAGAGTAAGGACTCAAACGAGAAGACTTTTGAGAAGAAAAAAGAAACAGTACCTAGAAAAGAAGGAGGAACATAGAACCGGTCAGTCTAGACAGTTTTATAAGGACCTAAAACAATGAAGGGCAACACGACCAACAGCTCAAAATTTATAAAAGACGATGCAGGACAATTGCTCACAGACGACAAGGAGATAAGCCACCAATGGAGAAAGTATAGTGAGCAACTCTTAAATACAGAAAAACCCACAACGACAGGGCAACAAAGATAGTACCAGTTAGCCAAAGTCAGAATTGGCAGCACCACGTCGAAGGAATTCCAGCAGTTGGTCGCTCAAGAAAGAGATGGAAGGATGCAGTAGCCAGTGATCTACGCAAAATGGGAATACAGCAATGGGAAATAGCTGCTCAGGACCGACAACAATGGAGGGAAATAGTAAACGCGGCACATAGAGTTGTAAAGCTAAATGATGATGATGATGAGTTAGTTGGAGCTAAGCTCCATCAATTGGATGAAACAGCAACTAAAGCTTAGAAGAGAGAGTGTAAGGCCAAAACTGATTTTTATAGAAAAGCAAATAGTTACGCAAAAAGTTTGATAACCAGTGCAAAAAGTTTGATAACCAATACTATCGGTGACAAATTTTATCAAAAGAGTATGGACAAAGAATCATCCAAAGATCAGCTGTCTAAACTTTGCTCAGAATTCTTTCATGATGTATCAACACACATTGCAAAGTTAAAAACAAATTTTCAATGAACTAAATAACGGACTTGAAATGAAGCAACTAAGTAAGGTACCAGATGTAACGATTATATGCAAAATTATATATGTTTTACCTAGTCAGTATGAAACTTTAAGTCTAGTAGGGTGCTTTTAATTGAAGATAAAGATAAAACTCTTGATGAACTACTAGTTTCTTAATTATGTACAGCTGGTTCATAAAGAACTGATACGACTCTTAAAGGTCGATCCAGACACATCAGTCACGTCTCGTCACAGTCCTGGCGCCGAACCGAACAATCCGTCATACAAAATATTCTTTAATAGAAATATGGCGCCGGCATTCACATTCATCAAGCGACGAACAGTTTGCCAGCTGTCAGATAGTTGATAGTTCTGTGATCAAACAGGACCGGTTCGGCGTCGGGACTGTGACGGGACTGATGTGTCTGAATCGTCCTTAAAGCGGATTTTGTAGAAAATTGAGCAGTGTATTTTAAAGGATAAATAGTTATTATTTACATACTGTCACTCTCACTGCCAAATCTTAAAATTTGTCAGATAAATTATTCTGTTTAACTTCAAAAATGGCTCCACATGCCAGCAAAGAACAAAAGCAGGAATTGTATCGAAATTAAAAGATGGTTGGTCACTATCTGCCATAGCGAACCACTTTAACGTAAGCAGAACAACAGTTCAAAATAATGGAGAGAACAAGAAACTTTTGAAAGCCGGCAAGGTTCTAGAAGACCAAAAATATCTACCGCTCATGAAGACCGTACGTTTTTGGAGAGATTAGAAACGAATCCTTTTGAAGATGAGAAAACTGCAAGAATTATGTCACAGTTTCCGGGAAGAAAGACAACACTTGGCGCAGAATTAAAACATCGCATCTTAGGTACCGAACTGTAACAAAAAACAGCTCTACACCACACGAAGCAATCAAGACTTATATTTGATTTAAACCATCAGCTACAATCCAAACAAAGCCACTACATCCAATTGTTTCTGCAATTACTGTAAAAAGATAGGACATTGGGTCAAAGTTTGCAGAAAATAGATAACTGATTTATAACTTCCAAAAACAAAGCCAGAATTCAGCCAAGGAAACGCTAACAAAATAAGCCTGATGATAGTTTTAGAAAAAGCATATGCGGTTGATATTGTAAATGAAAAAGATGATTGGTGGTTTGACAATGGAGTAACAAGACATGTAATCAATTCACCAGAATATTTTGTTACTTATAAAGAATTTCAATCCTCTACTAATATTAAAACAGCTGGGAAAGAAGTTCTTAAAGCACTAGAAAAAGGAACTATTCAAGTAAAATCATTCATTCCTAATCATAAATAACAAATCATTAAACTCGGTGATGTCTGGTACGTTCCTCAGATTTCTAAAAAACTGTTCTCGTATTAGCGATGATTGAATATTCGAATTCATCAACTGGATATTCTTAAATCAACGGTGTTAGCAACTCAAACAAAAATCCAAACAGTTTTTTATATCTACTATTGTACACCGTCAACTAGAAATTAATAAAGAAATTGTTATTACTGGAACAAGAGAAGTAAGAGATAAATTATTCAAATGTGCCATTGAAGCAATGATTCCACAGCAACAAAGATTGAATGAGATTAACATTAAAAAGATGATGCTAGTTCCTTGCTGCAGCTGTATCATGAGTAATGGGGACATCAAGATGTGAAACGTGGACAAGAAAAGCTCAAGAATGAAATTGAGATAAATGTCAAGCTTAAAAGATACGCATGTGAGCTCTGCATTTATGGTAAAGCCCACCGTCTCTATGGTTGCCCATGCTAAAACGCAAGGACATAAGATTAAGGAACTAATTAGTGATAATGGTGGCGAACTCGATAATGAAGACAATGAATGGCCTGAACATATAGATACAGAATTTGGGTTAAAGAAGACAATAAAGTAATCTTGTCAAGAGATGTTAAATTTTTGGAAAGCCTAATTGATTATCAGGAACGAGTTCAATTGCCTCTACAACCGGAGTTCCCAACCAGGGGGGCATAGAGAGATGTCAAGGGGGGCGGAAGACGTTTGCGATTTTAGAAAGAAAAAAAAGTAATCAAACAACATTTACAAATAATATTACAATGTAATGTTTAATTTACACGGATAAAATTAATGAAATTAAATATGTCAACAACCGTTTCAAACCCGACACCAACGTCGTCAATCGCAGTTTATATAAGTTTCGACAAGCCACTACATGAAATCCGCGCGCAACCCCTCCGCAGCGATTCCGCATACGTTTAATTAGGAATTAGGATTAGATCATAGATAGATGATAGATAGAAAATAGTTGAGTACCTTCCGGACGTTCATTCACACAAATTTACGAAAATTTGACGTTTCGGTATCAATTTGTTGCTGAGAGAATTAGTTTGAGTGTGTATAATTATTGTGTTTCACTGTTAAAATGTAAGTTTGTGTATTTACAAACTACAGTTGTCATTTTTATTTAATTTACTAAATTATTGATTGAGCTAAGATGCGTTCGTAGATCGATCATTGGATCTTTTTTAACACATTACAATCAAACCTACGTGGCGAATTAATTTTGAAACGTTAAATACATTACGTTATTAAGATAAATGGGCATTTATAAATTAGTAATTACATGTAGGTATTTTGCTTGTTTATTTATTACTGTTTTATTGTTATAGGTTGCAAAATGGCAGCGAAAAAAAAGAAAGTTTTCCGAAGATTTAATATTAAGTTTGTGATTTACCTTCATAGAAAAAGACGAGTTACAGTTACTTCAGTGTGTGATATGTATGAAAGTTTTAAGTAATGATAGCATGAGGCCCAATCGCCTTGAAAGACATTTGAAGGTACAACATCCTACTCTGGTTTTGAAGACGCAAGAGTTTTTTTCTTCTAAAGCAGAATCACTCAAGCGGATGAGATTGGATAAATCGGGAAGTTATCCAAAGGTGTATCGCAGCATCTCAAAGCTTCATTTGAAATAGCTTTTATGATAGCAAAGCAAAAGAAACCTCATACTATTGGTGAAGAATTAATAAAACCGTGTGTCCTAAAAGCCACGCAGATAATTTTAGGAGAAGATGCAGAGCAAAAAATGAAATCTATTTCTCTTTCGGATAATACAGTCAAGCGTAGAATCGATGACATTGCAGCAGACATAAAGTCACAAATAATCAACAAAGTAAAATTATCGCCATTTTTTGCAATTAGTTGCGATGAATCCACCGACATCGTTAATTGTGCACAGTTAATAGTGTATGTTCGTTACATCGGCGGAGATATCATTGAAGAAGAGATTTTGTACTCCCAATCTTTGACAGCAGGTACTACTTCTGAGAATATATTTAATTCAATATCAAATTTTGTTGAAAAACATGACTTGGATTGGAATAAACTCATTGGACTTTGCACAGATGGCGCACCTGCAATGATAGGTGTACGATCGGGCTTAGCTAAAAAGCTCAAAGAAAAAAATCCCGCAATGGTTAGTACACATTGTGTTATTCATCGGCAAGCTTTGGCTTCCAAAACATTACCACAGAAATTACGCCAGACTTTGGACTCGGCTATAAGGATTGTAAACTACATTAAGAGCAGCGCTTTGAACAGTCGTTTATTTACTTTACTTTGCGAGGATCTCGATTCTGATCACAAAGTTCTTCTGTTCCATACAGAAGTACGCTGGCTATCCAAAGGCAACATGTTGGCTCGCCTTTATGAATTGAAAGAAGAAGTAATTCTTTTTCTCGAGTTCAAAGAAAAACACGATTTCTTCACAATGTTCAAAGATGACACATTTCAATGGAGGTTGGCTTATTTGGCTGACATATTCGATGCCTTGAATGAACTAAACTTAAAACTTCAGGGCAGTAACGGCACTATAATAAGCAATTATGATTATATTCAGGGGTTCATATCAAAGCTTCAACTTTGGAATCAAAAAATCTCTTCTGAAAATGTTATGTCTTTTTCTCGGCTGTTCGAAGCAATTAAAAATAATATACTTGACGCAAATTTGAAAGCTGACATAAAAACTCATTTGCAAGCGCTGAAAGACGAATTTCGCCGATACTATCGAGACATCAATTCAGAGTCACCAATATGGCGTATGACAAGAAATCCATTTGTTGTTGATGTGTTCCAATTACCAGAAGAAATTCAGGAAGAATTTCTAGATATGATGGCTGACTCGTCCATGAAAGATGACTTCCATCTCTTGACATTGGAGAAATTTTGGATTAAAAGATTGCCTGTTAATTCGAAGGTTGCCTCTCTTGCTTTACGAATACTAGTTCCTTTTTCTTCAACTTACTTATGTGAGACAGGCTTTTCTGCTCTAGTTTTAATTAAAACTAAACAGCGAAATCGTCTTGATGTCGATAGCGACCTGATGATAGCTCTGGCAAAAACAGATCCTAGAATCAACCAAATAGTACAGAATATGCAATCTCAAGTGTCTCATTAATATTTACTTTGTTAAATTTAATTTTTTTGATAAAAAACATGTACTAGTTTAATTAAACTTTTAAAATTTGTTTATTAGAATTAAAATAAAATTTTAAGTATATAATGTGCGTTTTTTTTTTGTATTTATTAAAAAAGTAAAGGGGGGCATGAAAATTTAATTTATAGTCCGGGGAGCCCCAACAAAGAAAGGTTGGAAAACCACTGCTCTACAAAGATCCCTAATTATCTCAGAAATTCTAAAAATGACAATGATGATATAGGTAATTTTCAATTAGAATAAAATGAAATCAATGATGAAAGAATCTCAGAGAATGGAGAAAAGATGATGATGAAGAATCTGTAGATGAAGATGAAGATGAAGAAAGAAAATATAACCTACGAAATTGTGATCAAATTAAAAAGCCTTCATATCTCAGCAATGTTTATGTACTAGTAGCTGAATATATTCTTTACATTCTATACTTTCTTAAAGAGAACAACATCTGGAAAGTATTTAAGTGCAAAAGTATTGCCATGGAAATGCAATAAAAAACAAAGCTAGACTAGTCATTAAAGGCTTCTACTAATGATAAGGGCATTGATTTTACTGAAGCATTCAGCCCAGGGGCTACACTTTTTACTGTAAGATCAATTTTAAGCTTTGCAGCAAGTGAAAACATGTTTTTGCAAACAGTTTGATGTTTGGACTGCATTTCTTTATGGAGAGTTAGAAGAGACAATCTTCTTGAAATAACCAGATGGTTACAGTTTGGTGAGTATATTATCACTTTGAAGCGCCTAGTTTCTTTTTAAATTTTAGCACGTATATTTACAAGTTTCATTATTTTTATATTTTAATTCATCACTAGAATACAATTATAAAGAATTGTTAACAATTTGTGATTTTCTATAAAAAAAAATTATATGAAACTATGATTTATTGACAGTAAATCACAATTTTCTCGTCAAATTAAAAGTATTTTTAATTAAAATTGCGTATTCCCCAGAATTCATAATAAAACAATGGTAAACGTAAAAATGTCACAATAAAATAGTTTTAAAACCAAATCCGCTATTCCTGGAATAAAAGAATTACAATATAGATCCTAAATCGTAATATTTTACCTATAATTAATAGATTAATACTAAATAATCTTAATTAGTTAATTTTAGAGTACTACTATATCCATTATATAACCACGGAAACTTCTGGAAAGAAGAAAGGAGAAAAATGAAAATAATCTAAAAATATGTGACCAACTTAGATGTAGGAGAAAGAAGGTAAGTTGGAGAACATACTGCCGTATTTTGAACCGTTTGTTTGGCTCAAAAAACTGATGATTTTATCAGTTTTTTGAGCCTATTTAGGCTTATTGTGGTATTTTACGCAAGTAATCAAGCACTACAAGCCACAGATCACTGGATTTGTGATAGTTTCTTACTGGAAACATACACGATTCCACGCATTACGATCACTATCGTCGGTAGTCGAACGAATTGTTCAAAGAAGAATGGTGGACACTCGTGGAACATCCAGGTCCAATTCCACGGACCGAAAGAAGCCCGTAGAGCAGGACACGAGCCAATCAATCCGCCCTCCACGCCTCTCGGCAACAGGAGAAGAATAATAAGGAAGTTATGGGGAATAAAGAAAGTTCGACACATGACAAAAAGTTTGAAGTATCTTTTGTTGACATAATTCCACTACTAGGATGCTTAAAAGATATAGTTAGACCATAAAAGCAACAGGAAGTAACATTTCGAAATAATGACATCAAGACCAATGAAGTTACTTCTAGAAGAAAAACAGCGGAAGAAGGAACAGCAAATGAGAAATAAAGCCAGCCAAGGAATCAAACGAAAATAGAGACCGAAGAATTTAGTCT